ATATATATATATATATATATATATATATATATATATATATATATATATAGAATATGTGTATATATATATATATATATATAGCAAGTAACACCCTCAGATGTAACTCAGCTCTTCCAGAAACCCCGAGGAAGTCGATAACCAGACTCGGAAGGACAACAACACCTACCATAAAATCTCCAGTCATTATGTGACTAAATTCATGCAATGGTACGCAGTGCAAATAGCACATCTCATGCTGTAACTCTCATTGCCAATACTGTCGTACGTGGCGTGTATATGTAACATTGAACTTTCGATGTGGTTGAAATTGCAAAATTTTGAATGAAATGAAGCAAAAAACTAAAATAGGAAGTAAGTGGTTTGTATTAAAATGATGCATAATTATGTAATGTTCAAAACTAGCTTTTTAAAATTTGTTTCAAACTACTCTATACTTGCAGTAAACCAATTCTAATTTAAAATTGCTTAACTTAAAATCAAAATTAGCTGTCCCAAAGTTGGAAATGATTGTTTCAAATTTATAATATTCATTTTTTTTTTTTACAAAAGAGTTGAGGTTGCAGTTTGAGGAATGGGAATAAAAGAAATGTTATATTGATTTGTTTAATTCATAAGCGGAAATGAATTCAAGGATAAATGTTACTGATTCCTGTCTGAAATATCATTCAGGCATTTCAGGAGTGTCTGGTAGCTGAACTTTTGAGATTTCCGGATCAATCATAAATATTATCAGATTGATCGTATCATTCTTACTAATTAAAGGTTCTTTAAAATGATGCTCTATGCCATCTAAAGTAAAATATTTATCATTTAGAAATAATTTTCAAGAAAAACCAAACTCGTTTATCAAGTTCAATTTTTTGTATTCTATTAACCTTAGATTTTACCTCAGTTTATTAGGTTCAGTATTTTTTTGAAAAACAATGCAAAATTTCGTCAGCGATATTTTTAGAATATTAATTTTTCTCTTAAAATCTTCAATTGGCAAGATTAATTACTTTGGGAGTAAAAAAACATTGTTTTTTTCTTTATTTTTATTGGTTGAGCTAACTTTCGTCGATCATAAATTCATTTTTTTTCGTCGCCTTTAGTCCTTCTTTTTATGATTTTAACCTACAATTTTAGTACTAAGACTTTAAATTGTTTTTTTCCCTTAAATTGGCTGATTATTTTGACATATCTGAAAAAAAAAGCTTTCATTAAATAAAAAAGAAAGGACGGTATAATAATTAATTCGAAATTGAATTAACAATCCAAAACTCAAAAAATAACATTTGGCAAAAATAAAATTGCGAAAATTAAGTTGCAAAAAAAGGAATCTTAAACGATTATTTTTTAAAAGTTTTAGAAATTGAACAAATAGTTTTTTTTTTTTGTTTCGTTTTTTAATCTTTCTCTTCCTTGTTCTTCCGTTCTTTCGCCTTTTGCACCAAACCAATCGATTCAATTATTTTATTAAAATCCTTTCAATTAATAATTTACTTTTCCCCTCCTTTTCATTCAACTTTTCATTTGACAAATATCAAATTTTTATTTGAAGAAATTTGATTCTTTTAATTAAATTTCTAATTAACAAAAAATTTGCAAAAATTAAGTAACAAAAAAAGTTTAATATTTTTAATAAATTTGTGCATACAACATTTATTGTCAAATGATTACGATGAACGATTATGGCAAGTGATAGTGATAATAAATATTTTGGATTGATATTTGAACCGTTTTACAGATCATGATTGATGTTTTTGTTTACTTCATATGTTCTAACACTTATCAGTAAGTGATATGCGTGCGAATAGACAAGATAAATTTACACTTCCCAATTATACTGTAGAATGCAAAATTTTGAAATCAATTTCGATTAAGTTAAATTTTACAATGTGAACAACAACTTTAACAAATAGGCCCTTAGATGTATTCAGGTAGCTCGTTGGATTTAAATCGTTCCATTTCGCTTAATCCTGCCGTCATTTGATCTTTGAACGGCATCAATCACCATACATGCTTATCATTAGTTATCATTGCTATCATTAATATCACACCGCTATTAGTAGCAAATAACTTACATCCAACTTCGAGTCTAGACACTTATGCAATAGCCTGCTATTAAGTCACATAAATGATAATGATTAATAATTAATAATAATATTATTATTACGAGAAGCAGTAATACTTTTTTAAAAATCCCATTTTACACATTCCTTCTTGTCCCACCTCATTTTTTCCTTTAATTAATTAATTGAAGGTGACAAACAATTCTAGGTTGTAGAATATAAATGAATGGAAGTTTTCCAAAAAAAAAAAAAAAAAGTTCGAGCTCTAAAATAAAAGTTTTGCTAAACAATAAATGGCGACAAATTTGATAAGCAACAAATAAATTTAATAATGTATAGGCTACTAATTAACTAGATAACAATTATTAACAGTAATTAGGACTAACAGTTATTAGCACTAACAGTAATTAAGCAAAGTCATAATTAATGTCATTGCAATGACATCCATACAAGCATTATTAGTGTAGAATCATACTTTAGTCGTGAAAATCTTTCTTTTTTCCTTAAGTAAAAGGGAAATCTCATCGTTTTAATATTACTATTTGGAAATATTTAAAAGAAATGAAGAGGGGAGAAAGAGAAAAGAAAGAGAGAGAGAGAGAGAGAAGAAAAAAAAGGAGAACATAAGAACTTCATCATGCTATAATCACTATCAGCAAAAGTTAGTAATCAGTTAACTAAATGTTAAATACACCCGCTGTTGACTATTGCCCTGAAGGGTTGGATGAATTTTGGTGTTGGACAGCTGTGAGGTAGAACATTGAAGTGCATTAATGATATATTCTCGGGAGCTCGGGAGCAGATGAGGATGAAGTGGGATGAATTTGTCAGCTGGCAGTCAGACAATCATTCCACCAAAACACTATTAGCTTCTTCTTCTTCTTCAGTTCAGCTTCTCCGTTCACTTGTGTATGTCCGTTGATGATACATTTCCCACAAGTATTTATTCTCCAATATATAAGTATATCTATTTTATAGTATATGAATATAACACATATTTGATACATGTATTTATATATTCTAGTATTTGAATACATCTATTCTATAAGTTACATTTATTCCAAATCATATATATTTTATGCTTTATGCTCATTAAAAAAAAAAAATGGTATATCTGTTCTCTAATATATATCTATTCTCTAGTATATATCTATTCTCTAGTATATAAGTATTTCATTAATATATGAGTCCAATAAATGATCCCAAATAATTAATGGTGTTTTATCGGTTAACATAAGATTTGCTCTTTTTTCAGAATTGGTAAATAAGCAATCGGAAAAAGAAAAAGGAAAGAGAGGAGGGATTAAGTTTGTTATAGTACTTAATGCAATATATTAGCCAAGTTAAAGTTTGGATAAATGTCACCTATATCTTCTCTTTGTCATATATTATTGCAAATTTTATTTTGCAATATAATTGAATTTGAATATATATATACTTGAATTTTTTTTTGTTCATTTTAAGTTTTATGAAATAATTTTTATAAATTGGATTAATGTATAGATTTGCTTATTCAAATCAAATTTCTAGCAAGTAACTAAAAGGAACACAATCGTTCATTTCATTCCTTCATTCATAATCATCTGGATATAGCGATTAAGCTATCGCAGAATAGCGGTACTTCTCCCGATGGGCGGGAAGTTAAACGATCGATGGAAATGTTTTCAAATATTATAAAATTATCTGGACAACAACATGCTGCTACTATTATCAGCAATAGATTTCTTGCTATTCCCGGTTTGTGCTGGTGGAACTAATCGAGATGGCAATGGATGTAATGATCAGTGTGATCATTATGCTGATACTGTTGTTTATGAAAATTGTATAAAGAAATGTTCATCTGAACGGTTTACAACCAATACTTTCACAACCAGAAGTATTATTCTTTTGTTTTCTCATCACTTAATTAATTACCTTTGATTAAAAATATAGCCAGTTTATTCATTTTAATTTATGAATAATTAAATTATAAATAGTAACTGCAAAATCAATTTTTAAAATTTGGACAGAACGAATAGATACTGTTAATTACCAGCTTTGACAGAAACTAATTAAAGCGGCAATAATTCCTATTAATTTTAGGATATCCATCACCACCGTTTAATATTAGCGTTGACACGACTGCAATTATCGGTAGTGTGAAATTCCTAGAATCAACTGTTCATTGGGACTTTGAACCTGGTAAACTTTACACTATTAAGTCAATTCTTAAAATTAATTAATTAATTGCTAACAGATAATTTTTCCACCTTTCTCTCTTCTTTCATTCATTCATTTTATCAGAAATTTCTTCTTTTACTATTTTTACAAGAAAATCAAAGCCATTTCATCAAAAAAATTTTGGGATTACTCTTCATAAAAACAAAAGTAAATTATTATTATTATTATTATTATTATTATTATTATTATTATTATTATTATTATTATTATTATTATTATTATTATTATTATTATTATTATTATTATTATTATTATTATTATTATT